AAAATTTTATCCAAAACGCTAACGCTAATCTCTAACGCTATTCCCAAACAGGCCCGTTATCACTGTTTCATTTTCTTTAATAGCTTTTTTAATTAATCCTCTTATAAAATGGAGGATTAATTAAAATGGAGGATCTATTATATTTATACTTCAATTTATTAATGGTGGGATTACTAAACGAAGCTACGGAAGTTATTGTTTCTTTAAATAAATACTCCGTAATTTATTTCATGGGGTGCACCCCCTCCCCCCCTCCCCCTTATATTGTAATGAAAGGGTAGTTAATTATTATTACTAATAATTTTCTACATTTATCTTTTTTCTAATTCAAGTCGTACCGCATGAAAATTCAACATACTTGTACTTCGTAAGTAATTCGTTTAAAAGTTATACCGTGTGGTGGGTAATAAGATGGGGCGGTTCCATGATATTATTAGGCAATATCATGAGATGATCTAGAATCGTACGATCTTCTGTTCGACAAATTGATAATTTCTACCCCTAATTCTACCAACAATACACCCACCCAACCCGAACAGATCCCAAAAAAAATTATATTTCTAATAATTTATTTCTTTTGTGTTGCATTTTTTTTCAACTTTAATTTCATATCTTACATGACTTTTAACATATCATTCTATTTTTCTTAATTTGTATTCCAAACTTTAAAAGTCAAATCTTCTATGGAAAAAAAGGAAGTATGTAGACAATTTTGCAGTGGAAAAATACGCAATCGGTTACATTATAATTTTACTTTGGTAAGATTTTCAAGGCTACTGTCGCCGTCTTTTTGGCTTGTCTATTGTATACACTTCTTGTTTTTTCATAATTTGTTATCTTTAGATAATCTGATTGATTATTTGATGAAATAAGAAATTTTGTCATCTCTTTTTTTGCAAAATATTTAATGTAATTTTTAAATATATAATTTTAAATTTTTATACTAATTTGTAAATAAAATCATTTTAAAAAGTTATGAGATTCTTTGTGTTGTTTAAATAAAGTAAATCATTTTGGAAGGGAGGAAGTATCCATTTTTGCTTCCTTTCTTTAATGTCTTGATCATGAAATTGTAGAGAAGCAGAGAAAGACCGAGAAAGAAAAAAAAAAAAGAAACTCCCCACACTCGCTCTAATCGCTAAACACTTTTTCAGAAAAAACTTAACAAACGTACTCTCAAGCTCGTTTGTCATGCAACGAAGATCTAGTTCTCTATTTATAGTGGTTATTCTCGCTAGTGGCGGAGCCAAGGCTCAATGCTTGGAGGGGGCACAATAGTAGCGTATGTGGGCGACGGGCAACGCCCGCCAATTTTTTTTATTCCCTTATTCCTAAAAACTATCCTTATTTTGACTTTTTAGTCAAATAATCACACTCTTTGACAATAAATTAAACATATTTGAAATAGATAAATGTTATGAAATTTTGATATATCAAAACTATACCTTAAGATAAACCTAAATATATTAAATTTATATTATAATTCAATATACTTTTATCACAATTTGTAGTCAAAGAGTACTACTGTTTAACCAAAAAAGTAACAACAAAAAAACTTAGGAACAGAAATATTAAATGACTAAAAAACTAGTAAATTTTATCTCAAAGAAGAATTCTAATAACTAGAACGAAAACAATGAAACAGTTATAATTGCACTTGTAGAAAGTATCAAATTGTATCAACGGGGAAAAAAATATTTTATCCTCTAAATTGCATTCTCTCACGTCTCTTTGACAATTAATTTTTTACACTTTCACTTTTGCAAAAAAAAAAAAAAGAAAAAAAGGAGTGGGAATGGAATGGAGAATTATTGAATGAGTGTTGCACAAGCTAAGGTCGTTTTTGAAAATTCAAAGACTCATGATGAGATGGGAAAAAAAGTCATTCGTCTTCTTTGGAGATTGGTAAATTTAATAAATTTTTTTATTATAAAAAATTTTAAAAAAAAATTATGTGAGAAAGTCCACAAAAATGGTATGCACCGAAAGTGCACTATAATTCTTTTATTAAATGAATGGTTGAATTAGTAATTTTAAGTACTTGATAATATTAGTTGTTAATAAAAAAAATTGTTAGAAATTTAGGTATTCGTAAATAGATATTTGTAGTGGAAATTGCCTTTTTAGATGTGCTTCCATATTTTTTTAAATGAATGTGCTATTTTAATAAATTAAGTCAACTTATAATTAGTTTATAAAATCCTGATAAAAATAAAAAACTATAGTGCGGAGTATTAATTTATTTTCACAACTATTCATTTTCTATATTTATTAATAATCATATCACTTTTTGTTTTAAAGACATTTAGGTTTACTTCTAAAACGTACTACCTCCGTCCCGTGAAACATTTCCCCTTTCTTTTTTTATCCGTCCCACAAAACACTTCTCATTTCTATTAAAAAGTCACTTTTACCCCTTACTTTTTCATACTCTAACTATCACATCATACCTTTTTACTAATAATATATCCATCAAATCATACTTTTACCCATCACATCAAAGGACATTTTTGGAAATTCAATACCAAAATACACTCCCTTAAATCCCTCCTAAAAAGCAAATGTTCCATGTTTCACGGGACGGAGGTAGTATATACAACGTTTGAAGTGAAGAAGAATAACTTGGGAAGAAGAAGGGTTAAGGAGAGAATGGAAAGAGCAAGTCAAATTAAAAATGAAGGAATTATGGTAAAAAAACGAAAGTAATTGTTTTTAACTTTTTATTTTGTAGGTAGAAGAGTAAACAGATATTAATCGGATCGGATGTGTCATTGCCAAATCTGTATCCGTTTATTTTTGTCGGATATCGAATTCGGATACGTATCTTGATGGATACTGATAATCAAAACTGTATCCGCATCCGTCGGATATCGGCCGGATATCGGATATATCCGCATCCGTTTTCAATTTTTAAAATCAAATTAAACAATACTTTAATTTTAAATTAGACTAAAGTCAAACTATTATCAAATCAACTATAATTTGTTATGGGATAATTAATTTCTTTGTTTTCATGATTTATAATATTCTACGATAACTTCATATGATAAAAAGATATATACAACACACATATACACATATTTTTATATATCTGCAGATATTTTTGTGTCTAGACATTTATTTTGTATATAAAAATGTACGAAGTATTATACTTTGAAATATCAATAGAGAAACAAAATATAAATATAAAAAAATTAAGAAAAATTATATACTCCCTCCGTCCGGAAATGTTCTCCCCGTTTAATTTTTTACGGTTTCCAAGATTACACTTTGACCACTAATATCTTTATTTATACATGGATATATTTTATAAAAATATGATATTTGAAAACTATATTTTAAAATGAATATATTCATATTAAAGTTATATCATAATACAATGTATTTTTTCCACATATCATAGTCAAAGTTTATAAACTTTGACCACGAAAAGTCAAATGGGAAGAATATTTCCGGACGGAGGGAGTATAACGGATCGGATATTCGGATAAACGGTTATTTAAACGGATACATATTTGGATCGAATTTTAAATAAGACAATCTCCTATAATTCTCAGTTCTCATTTTTGTTAATGTCTTATGTACTATACTCTCCTGATTATTTTAATCTTCTTCACTTGTCAATAACCAATTTCTCGCATACTTATTTATTTTTATATCTTTAACATATTATTAATAGAAGAATTATATAGCATTAATCTATTCTATATTTCTACTATAGATTATGTAATCTACATAAAGTTGTATATTTTACAAAATGTCGCATATGAGATCCGTTGATATGGGAAGTTTGAACCAAAAAAATTCCAAAACAAAAGTAAATTCACCACCACCCCGAGTCTCCCAATCGAGGCACTCTGTCTCAACCATCTCGAAATCATATCTAAACGACACAGACACGCCTTGAGTACTTGGGGTCGCAGAAACGCGTTGTCACCAATCTCATTAATTACTTCAATCGGCAAGGTTGCGGAGGACGACAAAGCGATGGAAGATTCAACTCCCGAGAGTAAGGGTGGATTCGGTTTTGGCAATTCGATCTTCAACCAAAACCAAAGATAAAATATAATGTAAGTTGGCGGTTCGGTTTTACACCAAACATATGTAATTCGTTGGTTAATCGGTTTGGTTTTATATTCTTATTTTGGTTTTTTTTGGTTTTTCGGTTTTTAAAAATACAAATTTATAGGCATTAGAAAAGTTGTAACAATACAATCTTGATGAAGCAATTAAAATATGTATTGTTGGGTTCGGTTATTTCAGGTCGATTTTTACCCAAAATAAAAAATTGAACAGGTTAGAAAGAATTTTTTGTTTTGATTTTTTTAATTGGACATTATACACTTTGACCATAAATTATAAAAAACTATACTCCCTCCGTCCTCGGAAACCTTTCTCCTTTCTTTTTTCATCCGTCCCAAAAAACACTTCTCATTTCCATTAAAAAGTCACTTTTACCACTTACTTTTTCATAACCTACCTATCACATCATACCTTTTTACTAATAATCTATCCATCAAATCATACTTTTACCAATCACATCAAAAAACATTTTTGGAAATTCAATACCAAAAACAATCCCCTTCCTCTTAAAAATCAAAACTCTCTATTTTTCCGGGTTGGAGGAAGTATTTAATTATGATGTAAAATCATTATAATTGGCTTCATGTTAAGATACAACTATGTTACATGAGCACCAATTAGTTCAAAATTATAAAGACACCGAGTATACCAAATTTTTAAATAAAGAAGTAGGGCTTCAAAAATAGAAGCCCTTCCAAAAAATCTCAAAGGCTCAGGACGAACCCAAGCAAAAGAGGGGGTTTGGAAATAGTTTTCAACCAGCAATAGACGCGCCTCGGTTATTACCTCAATAGCTGCGTCATTGTCCCAAGCGCAAAGGTGGTTCTCAAAGACCATCCGCCTCTCCTTTTTATAATGGCTTTACCCCCTTCCCTTTACGCTATCTAACCGGTGTGGGATCGTTATCCACTCCATCACTTTATTCCCAAAATTGGCCCAAATCCTCGGAGAAAACTGAAAAGTTGATTCGCTTCTTCCCCTCCCTCCGTTCTTGAATGCTTTTGAGCGATTTCTTGCTGTTATTTTGTTTATTTTGTGGGTGAATGGTTCAATTCATAACTGCAGTTGCAAGAATCCCTGATTTTCACCCGTAGAGATTGTTGCAGAAGAAGAAAGAAAAGGGTAATGGAAGGGGGTGGGGCAGATGAGAGTGGGAGCTCGTCAGTGGCCTCACTGGTGAAGTGGAGAAGGGAGTTTTCCGGGAGGTTTCAGTACTACTTGGACAGATCTGTCCCTTATACGGCTGAGAGGTGGATGGGAACCCTAGCTGCTGCGTCCGTTTATGTGCTTCGAGTTTACTGTGTCCGTGGCTTTCATGTCATATCCTATGGTGTTGGAACCTATCTCTTGAATTTGCTGATTGGGTTCCTGTCCCCGAAATATGATCCTGAACTTGAAGCTCTGGATGGTCACACTAGAGATTCTGATGAGTATAAGCCGTTTGTTCGCCGTCTCCCTGAGTTCCTGCTGTGGTGAGTCCATTCTGGATCGTCTTGCAGTTTTATATTATGAGAAAGCTTCCAAATTTATTGGGTTTTTGCTTCTCTGGGGTTAGTTTCACTTGTTTGATTACTTTTTTCCAGTCACATTTTCTACATCCTTGTTTTCATGCATACTCTCTTTAAGGGTATGCTTGGATCATGGGAAAGGTTAGGGAAATGCTAAAAGAAAATGCCAAGGAAAGCTAAGCTATTTTCTCATGTTTGGGTTTATCTTTGATTATATATGAAGGAGCATAAGCTATTTTCTCATGTTTGGGTTTATTTTGCATGGGGGAGATTCTACCTAAAGTACTTACAAATTTGTAAATGATGTGTTTCTAGTAGCCACTTTTTTGTCTATGCCATGCTGAATGGTAGAGGGTTCTTATGATGCTTTCTGCTAAAGAAATACAGATTTGTGGGTATGGTTCATATAGTGTAGTGTAATAGACTGGGATGTTCAAACTGTACTTGTTCTTACCTAAATAAGATGTTGTCCCTTCTTCAAAAGGTTATTTGCTATTCCTTTTCTATGGTACAATTTCAGGTATGCAACCACAAAGGCATTCGTTGTAGCGTTTTTCATGACCTTCTGTTCAGTGTTTGACGTTCCGGTTTTCTGGCCAATATTGCTTTGTTATTGGATTGTGCTTTTCGTTCTCACCATGAAACGCCAGATAACGCACATGATCAAGTACAAGTATGTGCCCTTTGGCTATGGAAAACTGGTGAGATCTCTTGTTTCCATGAAGGGTTAATAGATTTTTCTTTGCTGTGTTCTTTTTTATTTTTCCTTTTCTTTTTCATTTCTTCTTTGTTGAGCTGAATGCCTAATGAAGCAGTGTTGAATTATGACAGAGATACACTCGGAAGAAATCTGCTGCAAGCAATGGTGGCTCATCAAGGGATTGAAATTTGCCAGTCCTCATTATATTTTGTTGTTTTTAAGGTTTAGATTTAGATAATCAATGCTTCTTCTTTGTTTCTTTGTTTTTCTTTCTTTCTTTCTTTCTTTTTTGTGGTATGGGTGAGTTGTACTGAAGCATTACTGTGTTGTTTTCTCATGAAACTAAGGCAGATGCACATATATGGCACATATTATAGTGTTTTGGAATAGGTGAATGTTCTTTTGTTTTTCTTTCTTCTCTCTTTTCATCTATGATATACTTCAATATGCCTTGTAAATACTCCAGATCATCTTAAGATAAATGAGCATAAAGAGTAAAGTGAACAACACAAAAAACAGAAACAGCACAAAAGCTTTTGAAGGCAGATTGAATGGCCAGTGTCAGATTACATCCATTATCACAGGGATATCTTCTCTCTCTTGGGAAAACTTCAGGTTAGTGTTTCTTAATTTCAACCTGAAAGATAGCCCTTTAGTACTCTGTGTGATTTTATAATACATGGTTTGCATGTTTATATTTATTCTTATGTACATGTGCTTGTTGTGATTGTTCATTACTTGAAAAACCCCCAAAAAAAAACAAAAAACAAAAACAAAAGAAGGTGGTGGTGCCGCGGCGGTGGTGTGGTTTCATGGGTGGCTGATTCCGGCATGATGGCGATTTGAGTCGTCGTTGGCTGCCCTGTTTGCCACATGAAACTGCGAAATGTACTTGTAATCTCCCTCCTCCGGCGGTGGTTCGTTTAGATGTGCCCAATTGCTACTTACCCACCTCCACAAACACAAAAGTATCCATGTCAGTTGAAAGAATGACAGTAAATGTAGCCCAAAGTGTATAGGAGAGTATATATATTAATCACCAGCCATGTGTGTGGATCAGTTTCTCCAAAGAACTGGTTTCACTGACTGTTCCTGTGTCAAGAAGAATGTCCTCCTTCATCTGGGCACTACCAGCTGAACTTGATCTTGGGCACTGCTCTTTCTTCTCATCCTCCTCCTGCTTCTTCTTCTTCTCTAATCTCCAATACCCATCCACTTCCTCCTTTGTTAAGGACCTGTTTCTCTGAAACATCACTGAAAATTCCAAAACCTTTATGCAGATGATTCATTCCTTGGAAGAAAAATGGAGCTTTTTTTTTGAAATAGATCAAAAAAGAAAATGTGAAACTTTTTTTTATGGGGAACAGAAACTGCATATATAAAGAGCTTCTTACCAGCTTTAGGATCAGAAGAAAGAGGTGAATCCCAACCTCCCATTAAAGAACCCATCTTTTTTTTTCTCTAGAATGAACTTTAAAACTGGTGTTTTTCTTTTTCTTCTGGTATTTGATTTGAAGATATGATGAGGTATTTGTGTTTTTCTTCTTTTATATAGGAGAATGGGGGGAGGCAGCAGCTTAGGTAGTTGTGAGTTTTAAATCTTATCTGGTTACCCTATCCAGAAAGGGGTCTGTTCTGTCAATAATATGAAAGGAAATGCCTTTTTAAGCATTTTGGATAGACATAGCAGCGCCCACAGTTTTTGCATGCAGAATTGCTGAGAAGAATCCAGTTTGGGTTTTATAGTATGGATTAAGCGATTTGTACACCAAACCTCATTTTGTATCCCAAAGCCATGCACCGACATTTTTTGCTAGTGTGATGATTTACATTGACAAAAAATATCAGTGCAATTTCTTTTAAGTGAATTAAAATTGTCTGCCAGTGTGAACCGTTAAAATATCGGTGCATTTCTTTGGGGTACAATTTGGATTACACTTTTGGTGTACCCCTAGCATGGTTGTTATATTATTTATTACTCTCCCTGACTCATTTTAAATTGTCCGTTACGGAGTTTTTAAAAATAAAAAAATGATATTAACGGAGAGAATTGAAGAAGATGAAGCTCACCGTTCAAAATTATTTTTCTCATTTTGACATCACGGATATTGAGAAAAATATTGAAGAATATTGAAAAAAAATTAAAGGTTTAAAATGTGTAGTTAGAATTTCAGAATTTGTATACAAAGGGAGAAATATTTTGGATCAAATATTGTTCTCCAAAAAAAAAGAGTAAAGAGAACAAGTGAAATAATTATTTTAGAATGGATGAAAAATGAAAAATGAGAAAACTTTTGTAACAATACATCTCAATGACACAGTTTTGTTGCAAAACTCGTTGGTTTGAGTTTTGTTTCTTTCCAGTTCGGCTTACTTTAAAAGTTGTGTATTCATGATCTTGTGCCATTGAGTTTGATGCTTCGAGCCGACCCAACGAATTACGAGATTTGATTTTGGAACCCTTGAATTCATACCACCACTTGCATTTTGCATTAAAGTACGAGTATCAAAATATGCGTATTAAAGTTATTACAATATTTTATTTTGAATTTACAAATAACTTTAGATTTTTTGCAACAATATATACAGTTTTTGAAAAAAATAAGATAACAATACGATATCATTAAAATCTTGATTAAAAAAAATTACATGAGAAAGAGTAATATGGAAAAAAACATTATAATACGGAGTATTATTCTTTTCATACTCCCTCCGTCCCATTTTATAACGCCTGCTTCAGTTTACGATATTTGACTGAAATTATTTTCAAATCATTTTATATGACAAATGGTATATAGTTAAAAAATAAAAATTACATATTAAAATACTACGGAGTATATCAAAAGATCTACAAAACTAGTAGTGACAATAGTACTTTATTTTATCAAATTGCTAATGAAAATAAAGAAAGAAAGTGAATAAAGTTTGACCCTGTAAATAGTGAACATGCATTATAATTTGGGACGGAGAGAGTATTATATTTCATACGGAGTACTACGTATTAAAGTACATGAATTTGAAGAAAAAAAATTAGGTCGTGTTTGATCCATTTCAACGGGTCATTCCGCATTCAATTAACAAAATCTCTGGCCAAAACTCAATATTTTCAGGTGAAATTTCAAATAAAAAATAAATTGGGTCAATTTTTGTCGATTCATACGTTGGGGACATTCAATGTGTAGAACTCTGTATATTGGAATAGTTTGTCACATTTTACATTCGAGTCCTCGTTTATAATGTACAAATGACAATAAAAAGTGAGATCTCTCCCCAATTTTTAAATACAATTTGGCATGCACAAGTTCATAGCAAATAAGATATGTACACATAGATACATATATTCATGACTCATGGGCTATGGCCATGGACACTACACACTACCTAGTCATTCTTGTAATTATTCCACAGTTTGGTGATCCATTCATTTCATTACTTATTCCTTTTTCAATTGATCATTATGATTTTTTAATAATGTATCAAAAACAGAATGAATACATAGATATAATTCATGTTAATATTCATTCATTTTTGAAACTATCAAAAAATCATAATGGCAAGTTAAAAAGAACAGAAAACCACAAGGTTTACGTACTCTTTGTTATTATAACACATCGTGGCAAGGAACACGACACCCATGGCGGCGGCGGCGAGGCTTTTCAGGGTTGTTATTGTCGGAATCGGAATCGCTCGGCTCCATCAAAAGCCCTCTGAGGCATCTCCGCCTGATTCTCTGCTTGCCATCACGAGTTTCTTGAAGAGTTTTTTGGCCGTCTTGTTTTGCGTGATCTTCTGCCGGAAAATGCGGGATTCCGACGACACTCACGCCGGGGTCCATCTCCCTGACGTGGCTGTCCACAAGGATTGAGTTGTTGACTCCCTGGACGTTGGAGTTGGCGACGTACGAAGCATTGGCCGCTTCCCGGTCTTCTTCTTTAGTTGGCCGGTCAACGACGCGTTGACTCGGTTTGTAGGCTCTGCGGATGTGAATGGGCTTCTCATTGGACGGGCGGCCGAGCTGCATGATAGCCCCTTTGTTCTCGCCCGTGAGGGTTATTATCACATTAACCGCCACCGCCACCTCTTTAACGCCAGCTGCTCTGTTCTGAGCTAATAACTCCCCATGGCGGCGGCGGCGGTCGTCTTTGTCTTTGGACGTTTCGGCAACCACTGTTTTGATGGTTTGATGTTCGCCCGAATAAATCGTTGTGTGTTGCTTTGCCGCCGCCTCTTGTTCCGACGGCTTCATGGTTGTTGGTTGTGGGTCTCCTTCCTTGTTGTTTCCCATTAACAGAGGATCAGAAATTTGAGTCGGCGGTGGCTCCATGGAAGTGGTTTCCGAGGACAATTTGCTCGGAGGGGTTTCTAAGGACTGTTTGGTTGGTTCAATGAGGGTGGTTTCTGAGGACTGCTTGGTCATCTCAGGTGGCTGAAGTTTTGATTCATCGATGTCTCCGGCATGTGGCGGTCGGATTTCTGGAGCCGCCTCCCTTTCCTTCATCAAAACTGGTTCTTCTTCAAGCGTGCTCTCGTTAGACGGTGGCTGCGGAGGAATGTTCTCCACCTTTGGTGGTGGTGGGGGTGGTGGTGGTGGAGATGTTTCCACCAAACGTGGTGGGGAGAGAGGAGGAGTCCCCTTGCCATTGCGGGGCGGGGTCGGGGGCCGTGAAGCTGCCCGAGATGGTGGCTTACGAGTGGGGGAAAGGGGTGTTTGTGGCGGCGGAGCGGCCCCTGCAGGCCTAAACGGTGGCCTCCTTGGAGAGGCGGTGGCAGACTGCTCAGTCTGGCTTCCTCCGGTAACGGAGGGCAGAACTGGGGGCGGCGGGGCCTGACGTGGTTGACGTCTAAAAGGGAACCAAGACGCCATTTCAAAAGGAGATGAGTTTTGACTTGGGGATGGATGGTAATTGAATGAATGTTTGCGAGGCAAGTGTTGGTTTTCTTTTATATGCAAAAGGGGTTTTTTTTTTATGTTGATAGAAAGAGGCAAAATGCAATTTATATACAGCAGCAATCCATCTCATGCATAAGACAATTGACAAATAGAGGAAAGTTTTGCGTAAAACCTTTGGGCTTCTTTCCCTTTTGTTGGGGACAACAGCCTACTCAACCAAACACACATTCCCTTCTCCTCAAAAGTATCCCTTTTTTACTCCGTATTTATCCATTCTTAAGAGGCTTATAATAGGCAGAGACAGCCAAACTAACAAAAGAAAAGTGCATTTAAGGTATTTGTATTGATGTTAAGAAATATAAATAAATAAATAAATAAATAAATAAACAAACTTGGATTTCATATTCCCGAATATGATACGGACTATAAAGACAACAATAATCCGATAAGATCCTACGAAAGTAGAAATATACGGAGTATATGCTATGTATATGACATATATTTTTATTTCCCAATATAGAACCATTGGTCATTATCTATATAAGTCATTAATCAACTAAATGTTTAGCATCACTTGGACATTATTCTTCTAACTAGTCATTATAAAGTCCTATTTAGGAAATAAAAAAAATTAAGTCCTACATTGAAAGATGACTTATGTTTTAGTCTTTTTCAGTGCAAATTTCACTTTATCATATAGCCGCAAAATCAACATTTTATCCTCCGTATATTGCTTATTCAAAACACAGATTTACCCAACACTTTAATTAGCATTTTAGTAGCCCAAAAAAATGTTTTTTTCCCGGTCAAAATGTTAGAAAAAAACATCAGAACAAAAAAACATGCCATATATGTTTCTTCCATTAACAAGGTTCGAATCATACCATATTCATGTGAAAGAAATATGGCCACTCACACTTCCCCTGTTTTCCTAGCCTACTAATCCAAGCAAAGAACAAAAAGATGATTACCTTTTCAGGTAAATTTAGGACTCAATCTTCTTCATACCCTAGTAATCCAAGCAAAGAACAAACACACAAGCCACAATGGCAATCAAGAAAGATCATCAATTAAGTACATTTAAGCATCATTTTCGTCGAATTAAGTATTAACTATTGTAATTGTTAGGATATAAATGATCTTTCTTGGGCCACAACCACAAACTTAAGCTTTTGGTTGAGTTGGTTTCTTGACATGGCATCAGAGCCTTTTTGACTAAGAGATCACAAGTTCGAAACTCAGCACCACTTAGTTTTTAAAAAAATTAAGATTTCACGTGCAAGGCTCGAAAAAAAACTACGCTTGCACGTGAGGGAGTGTGTTAGAATATAAATAACCTTTCTTGCGCCACAATCACAAGCTTGAGCTTTTGGTTAAGTTGGTTCCTTGACAAGAGACCACCAACTGATATAGCAAGAATCATCACAGAAAAAAAGTAGGAATCCCTCCAAGTTCTTTTGGAGTTAATTGCATCCATCTATGATTACCCACCAAGGTTTGGTCAAATTACCAACAAAATCTCAAGGTTTCTAAAAGTTGGAAATAATCCTTCTCATTAATTCTACATCACGTAAAGACGAAACGATATAGCAATCAATATTAGTAGGAAATGAGTTCCTTCACTAAAATACTATCAGCATTTAGTTTGTCCCTAAGATGCTTTTTTAAAAAAGTATTGTAGTATTTTGGCCAAAAAACTTGCAGTAAGAACACCAAATTTAGTCTTAAGGCACAATTTGCGGTTGTCTCATTATATCCTATCTTGTTTCAATTTCAAAGACAGATCCACAGAAAATCTGGCAGGCAGGGGCTTATTTGTGATTTTCAAAAACCTCGAAAATCATTTGATAATTCGGCCAAAAATTAGTAATTGTAGGTGGAATTAACCATTTTTCCCAATTCGAAAGTACGCTCGTAACATATAGTACAACCAAAATAAGCAAGCACCGAAATAAACTTTACCTGATCAAGCTATGAGAGAAACAGATCATCTGAGGAAGGTGGTTGTGCAAGAGAGATCATCCAAATACACAAGAGTTGGAGATATTATGACTGGACAGGTTGTATCGGTAGTTCCCTCGTGGAAACGTGTTTTTCATCTTCATTTTCTCCTAGCAGTCCTGTGTTGTTGCAACGGAGCAAGTTGATAACAGTCACATCTGACACAAACATTTTACAAGCTGCACAGATCAAGTTAGGGCAGTAAATGGAACAAAACTATGGTTACTAGTAGGAGAACTTTACTGTGTGTTATGATCAAAGACAATCACATATGGCATGACCTCAGTCATAGACATTGTCATACCAGTAGTGGAAAAAACAGAGATGAGAAGTTAAGCAACTGAATGAATTCATCAAAGGAGATTATTATTATTAATGCACTACTAATCTAAGATGGCAACTACCATTCCCATGGATTCTAAACTGCCCAAAGCAGATACCAAAACAGTAAAATAGCTAAGGAAACAGAAAAAATCTCCAGCAATATTCTTGTGTAAATATTACTGTGTGTTAAGGATTTACTACCCAGTACCTAATATTTACTGCTTAAGCTTTTGATATCTTACTTGACTTACACTATACCACTGTCAATTATGTAGGGCCAAAATCCAAATGTATATATATAAAAAATAAAAATATTTTTTGTAATTAACGAAGATGTGGAGCACTAATAGAAGGAAAAAAAGAACCGGCAGCAAATGTGTAACGAGTATCACACCTAATAGGGGGGAAGCTGATGCTGCCATACGAAGAGATAGTATAGCATTCTCAAGTGGTAAAGCCACCCCGAAAAGAAGATCAAAATGCAATAGTAAATGGTATTGCATAACAATTAACAACTCATCACCTATAGGAGCATAAGACATACTCCATATTTTATTATCCTCTGTTTGCTTTTGTGATCTTGTTGTGTTATTTGCTTTGTGTTGCTTGAGCAGGGGGTCTCTTGGAAACAGCCTCTCTACTCTCTGGTAGGGGTAAGGTCTGTGTGCACACACCCTCCACAGACCCTACTTTTGTGAGATTTTACTGGGTTGTTGTTGTTGGTGTTGTTGTAAACATATGTGCATTATTGCAATACAAAACTAATAAATTTGAATAAGAAAATTATTCAACAAATACAGCAAGAACTTAACAGTGCAGATTGAAATCTGAAATCAACCCAGGCACTTGACCATCAAAGGCAACCTAAGCCGAAAAAAAGAGTTCTAAGAACAAACTATGAACTTGATGTACTTGTCGTATATAAGGGCATGAAGTTTTTGCCTTGAAAATTGTGCAGATTGCATAAGGATCCTTAGGACACACCAGGCTTACATTCTTGCGAGTAGGCTAGGCTTAGCCAATTGACAAAAATAATGATCAATGGAGCCATCCTCTAAGTTCCTTCAATCTGCGAATCCTTTGAGCATCTTTCATGAACCCCCCGGATTCAAGTCCCTCTATGATCCTATTAAAGTCTTCCCTTTGCAATTGATCCTTCTTAGCCTCCACAACACTGAGAGCTTGCAAAGCCTTCTTCTCAACACCAGCCCTTGCATACATTGAACAAAGACTAACATTAATTTTGTAAGGAGGTGCCTCACCCATACCAGCAATCTTATCCACTATTTGCTCAGCTTCATCAATTAGCTGCATTTTACTCAACCAGTCTACCATAACGGAGTAGGTAGCAACTCCAGGCTCAATACCATCCTTCTCAAGATTAAGCAGAAGATTCAAAGCTGGTTGCAACTGATTTTCCTTCTCATACACCGCAATCATGCTAGATATACATCTATCATCTGGCTTGTGTCTAAATCTCAACAGGTAATCAAAACTTCTCCTAGCTTCGGTATACTTGCCAGCCTTTCCATATGCCTCGATGAGCAGTGCTTGGGACTCTGGACTTGGCTGAAAACCAGCCATCTGCATCAAAGTAGATATTTTTACAGCGGAATCGCAGTCGCCGAACTGAGCATATGACCTCAGCAATGCAATATATATATCTTGTGAGGGTTCAATTTCCTTAATCTGCATATCCCTGAGGAGTTTCTCGCCCTCCCATGGTTTGCCTGCATTCACATAGGTCATTATCATGGAGTTGTACATATTTGCATCTGGCTGGAATCCTAGAACTCTAAGATCTTCAAACGTCTTGTTTGCTTGCTCAACATTCCTTGTTTTGCAGTACATCCGAACCAAAGTTAATGATGTAAGAACATCAGGTACAAACCCTTTTTCATACATTTTTTTCACAATTCTCTCAGCATCTTGGAATCGATTCCCTTTAGCATGTGCATCAATAAGTTTCCAGTAATCATGTAAATTTGCTTCAAATGACGCTTCACCAAGCACATCTTCTGCAATCTTAATGCATCAATTGAAAAAAAATGTGTGTAAATGGAGATCAAAAACTACTACAAATATTCAAAATGAAAGATTGCAAGCCATCAGAGAGGGAAATCAAAATCAAATGCTAAGTACTGGAAGAAAACTATCCTAAAAACAACACTTAGAACAGTATTGGTGTACTGCTAAATATTAGTACAGAGTGACTACTACCTATCTATCAACACTTAGGATTCAGAGAGTATGTAAATTAAACGGCCTTGCATATCCATGTATGACTCGGTGAATATTCTTATACATGTGAAAAGTAATATAGAAACTGAGTATAAAAAGCATGAACTGTGCACAAGGCTCACAACAACAACAACAACAACAACAAACCCAGTACAATCCCAACTCTATTGGGGTCTAGGGGTCACAATATATATGCAGCCTTACCCAGTAAGTAAGTAAAAGAGAGGTTTCTGTTAGACCCTTTGACTTATTGCTGCATGCACTGCCCAAAACTTCACCAAAAGTAAGAAGCGAATGATATCTAATGTGTCCTTTCCATATAGTCCATTATATAGCAAAGTTAAAACATTGTTAAAAATGACTCTTTTACCTTCATAACCTCCATTGACAATAAACTTTATGCTCAGGGCTCACACATAATACAAAACCTAGTGAAGGAGTTATGCATTTCAAATATGAGGGTTTGAGAAGTTAAATCTGTGTGATTTTTGAAAAAAAAATTATTTTGCAATATAAGAAAAGTGGTAAAAGTGCAATATGTAAAACAGTGAGCAATCTTACCCTGCCTTCTTGGGGGCTGTTTAATTGTTCATTTCTTAATATTCAAGAAGATAGCTAATGACCTAAAAGCTAAATGGCCATTACGAAGCAGTGAAAAGTTCTTAATATGAATAGGCAATATCAATCATGTTGAGCATAATAGTATTCATCAATCATCTAGCATAAAATGTCACATCAGCAGGGCATAAGCAGCCTAAGCACATGGAAGCCCCAATTAAGAAGAATATTAATGAGATATACTCCAGAGTACAAGTTTTGAACTACATAACAGGAAAAGGATAACGCATTAAGCGGATGAACGCTGTGTGTGTAGGATGACAAGGTTGGGGACATACCTTGAAGTATAAATGAGAATCCTGCTGATTTATCTTATCAAGCAAACTTAGCCAATCTATCCTGCTAGGTTGGAGCAACTCAACCCATTCAGCTAAGAGGGGTGCAGGATCATCCTGCAAATGCAACGAAAGAATTTTCTCTGTAACAAGTTTGCACTTCCCAAATATTGGCTTCAGTTCCTGGGGTGAAATAATGGCTTCGGCCTCATGAACTTTATCGGCCACCTCAGCCCACTTAGTGCCAGACAAATCAAGCCCATAAATTTTGTAGTTAAGTTTACCACGCCTCTTAGGGAGTGTCAAGACCTTGGGTGAGGATGGTGAATCCTCAACCACATCCTCCCCAGCAAGTCCCTTTTCTGCAGCCGCAGATTCTGATTTTTGTTCTTCCAGTGCCCTTTCCGCTGCATCTTCTTCCCTTAACCGCTCCAACTCTTCATAAAATTCACTCTCTTCCATCTTTTCACGTGCCCACTTGAACCTGAGCTCCCTCAGCAAATCACCCTGAATGCCAATTTCTCCAGCAAACCTATACATTTCCTTCACTTCCTCTGATTGAAGAAACCCCTTTAGCTTCTCTTTCCTAGTAGCTTTATGCATATCGTCCAAAACCGAATTACTCACCTCCAAAACCGTTCTCCATAATTCCGGGCTAAAATCTTGATCGGGTGCATCAGGCGCCTCGCCTAAACTCTGGTCAATCCCATCTTTTCTGAACCCAGATGCAACCTTCTCGACAATGATGAGAAGCATCCCATCAATCGTGCTCTTTCCCTCATCCGGAAACATTTCATTCAGCTTCTTCCGCATTATCCAAACAAATCTCGATAGAAACTCATTTGTAGTTGAATCTTCACTGTCCTCCGACTCGGTTTCTGATTCCGTCAGACTGGCTTCGTTAGCTGTGTGTACGAACCTAGAACTGAAACCCGAAAAGGGATTCAGGCATTCGAGGAGCTGAACACAGAAGAAGCCATTGATAGCGGGGTTTGGAGAAAGTAATGAGGATATGAGGGGTGGAGAGGCGGTGAAATTGCGAGAAAAGTATGGCTGATCGGATGGAACCCTACTGTTATTGAGTTTCCTTACGCATCTGAGTGTTCTTCTGACGATGAAGTGCTTCAGATTCATTCTCGTTTCTCGATTGGGACGATGAATTGAGCTCAGCCAGTGTGATTTGTGGCGTTAAACCCAAAACTTGTAAACCCTAGTCAACATCGGAAAAAATGCATTAGTCAGCTCCGCTCAATCCGAAATTTTGTGTTACCAAACAATTAGAATTGGAATTGCTACCTCAATTCTAATTTTATAGTTTGAATTTCATGTATCAAACAGTACGTGTAATTCTTGAATTATAATATGGGAGTTTGGATGACATTAACATCTCATGTCATCCTATGATATGGGTCTCGATTAGAGCAGTTATAGTGTTCTGTTCAAAAAATTGATAATTTTTACTTCATGATCTTCTTGGTAAACCCCCTCACTCCGGTCTGATCTGAATCTACACTCCATCCCACAAAATTGAGTTGATTTTGGAGTTAGATTTTTACTCCAAAGTCAACTAAAATTTGTGAGGTGCAATAAGAGCAAGGGGATGGGTTCGGATCGGACCAGGATAGGGGATTTATCAGGAGTTAAGAGTATAAACCATCAATTTTTTGAACAAACCTCTGTAGGTGCCTGGGTCATCCTATAAAATTGAATCGGGGTGTGCTATAAGATAAAGAAAATTATATTTTTGAAATTGTTTTACTTAAAATTTGGAATAAAAAATAAAAATGAAACTTAAATATTAAAAATTATATCAAAAGTTTTATAAAACTAAAATTGATAAAAATATTTTATTTTATCAAATAATCAGTGATACACACAAGTAAAGAAAAGTTATTGAGAAGTAGGAGAAAATTTGTACTATTAACTATGGGAGGGAGGAAGTATGTCAAATTAGGCAAATTCTTTCATTGATCTAAGATTTATGCCATTTTATAGACCTTAATGTATTTGTAGGATTAAAGAAGTGGGCATATTTTAGAAAAATGTTCACATTTTAAATGCAGGCCTCAGGATCATGTAAGCATCACTCGTTAAATTATACTCGTGGTGTGTTCAACAAAAATGTATACTTACGTCTATATTTTCTACTTGTTTGTATAATTATTTGATAAAATAAATTGGAGAGACCTCATATTTTGTAGATTTTTTAATTTAGTTTATTACCCAATAAATATTTTTTTACACAGATATTTAAATAATTTAAATTAAATTAAGTTTAATCTAATATCATAATCCAACAAAAAAGATTAAAACAAACAGAGGGAGTATCTCGCTTGTTTGAGCCAATTCTTGGGATAGTTAGTTATCGATCTGAAAAAATATTTTATTGATACAATTTGATAATATTTGATCTTAATAAACTGTAAAGGATTATATGAGTATATGGTAACAATAGATTATAAAAATTACTTAATAATAATAATCTATATCATATTATCCATATAATTCTTGATATCTTGGCAAGTTGATCACCAGTAACGGGAAATAGTTTGGACCACAGGAACTGGAATAGAACCGCCGGAAGTGTGAGGATAGCCACTAGAATTAAAGAGATTGAGCTTTGTTGCTTGACGAACGCGCTTATAAGTACGTTTGATGAGTCTTTTTCCAGAGAGCACTGGCGATTAGAGCAAGGACGTATAGTTTCTTTTTTCTCCTTGGAGAACGTTTTCTGGTTTTCTAGCATTTTTCATGCTCTTGAACTCTAGAACAAAACAAACAAACACAATTTTTTAGTTCTTGGATTATAAACATGATTTTTTTTTAAATAAAAAGAGAGACATAAAGGATAGCTGCTCCTAAGCATGCTCATAATCTTTAGAGAAAAAAGAGAGCTCATGGATGGTGAGGCCGCCATATATGGTCTATGGAACTACGGTGGTCGACCGTCAATGATAAAGACCAGCGGTGGTGCATGGTTGTAAAACAAATTAAAGGAAGCTAGGTTTTTGAGAAGAGAGACTATGATTCCAATTTCATGATACAATTTGATGATAATTGATCATATTGAATAATAAAGAATTACATGAGTATAAATAAATAATGCATGGGAAATCCTAATTAGAGTATAATGACAATTGTGATAACAATAGAATAAAAAAAGTAAACAATGACAATATTATATTTTTCTATTATTTCTAAAAACCTTATTCAATTTTGGTTTATATGCTCTAGGCAATATTTTTACAAAGAGAAAGATAACTCGAACTCATAAAAATGAAGAAACAAAGTTTGGGGTACACCTTCCCACACACACCACAATGGGTCTCAACCTTCCAAGGAAGGGTATGTACAAACATTGCATGAAATAAATTATTGAATGATACTAAAATCACTAATACTACTGTCAGGCAAAGAATGAACAAATGTGGATTATTCATGATTGACATTGTGTTTGTATTTTTACTCCTATTTCTATAATAAAAACATGAAACTATTAAAAGATTCATTTTGACATATTTGTTCTTTCGTGGAACTAAGGTTTACATGTGAAATATAGACCTTCTAACAGTTCTCATTGTCTGACAAGTGAATCTTTTCTTTTTTTTTCAAAAGGTCAATGATTTTATTGAATGATATTAATGCACTAAAATTTATAAATGAGCACGGACCGTAAGAATTCGCCTACAAAACAAGAGGTGGAATGAGAATTTTTTTCTTTACATATTTTTATTGATAATTTTACCAATCAGTATAACCATGTTACCTTTGTTGTTATTATTAGAGTTAGGACAATAAAACAGGTTCATCCTATCCTATCAAAAGATAGCATAATATCCGAATCAGTGAATGTATTTCCCTTTGGTCCATTCACTTTCATGCATCTCTATATTAGCTGGTACAAAATTCCATTGGAATGTAGATCTGATCTTTACCAGCTGGGAAAAATTCTCCCAAATGATCCCTTTGCTGGTGATATCGTAAAAGACAAGAAAATGTGCTTTTGTTAGTATTAATTACAAAAGAATTTGCCTACAAAACAAGAGGTGAAATACTTTACACTTTAGTAATACGGAGTAAATAAAGAGTATAATCCTCATTTAAAAAAAAGGTTAGCCATATAATTTAGATACACATAAAAGTTGAATGTAAATTGTCAAAAACCAATTCAACTAAAAGCTCAAACTTGTAGTGATTGTAAGCTCATGAAAGATTTTTATATTCTAACACGTTCTTTCACTTGTTGGTGTAGACACTTCGAGCTTTGCACGTGAAACTTTAATTTTTTTTAACTGTAACAATAAAATTTGAACTCGTAACCTCTTTGTCAAGAACAGTCTAATGCCATGTCTAGAAATCAACTCAACTACTATAGAAATAGTTAAATTACTGTTATATAGGATGACACTACTATAGAAAGAGTTGTTTATCTCTCTCCCACCATATATATCTATTGTCCTATACTACATAATACATATAAAGGGTACAACTTGCATTGAAGGTCCTCTCATCTCATCTTTCCCATACCATATATCAACCCATTCTTTGCCTACATATGATATAAAAATCTATTCATACGTACATATATATACAAATCTAGATAAGCTCTACTGATATCACATTATATATCACTGATATAAATATGGCCACATCATCATGGACAGCAAGACAAAACAAGAAGTTCGAAGAGGCATTAGCGGTATACGACAGGGACACGCCCGACCGTTGGCACAACATTGCCAGAATTGTGGGAGGAAAATCAGCTGAGGAAGTGAAGGGGCATTACGAAATTCTTGTGAAAGATGTGTTGCAGATTGAGAATGATGAAGTGCCATGCCCAAATTACACTGATAGCTAGCTTATATAATCATTCATGAACAGAGGTTAGCTACCTAGTCACTTTACCTCTTCATTTTCTTTTTAGTTTTACACCAATATTCAAATAAAATGAATTAAAAATAACATTAGTGAAACATCGTTTAATGTGTGTCCATAATCTAATGGGATGGTTGATTAGTGAATATGTTTTCTAGATTTTCCATGATAAGATAAGCTCATCTCTAATCCGGAGGAGGGACCAAGCCTGCAAATTTATAGAGCAATATTCTTCAATCAATCAAGAACTTTTAAATGTTAAAGCTAAATGCTAGCATTCGATGGTTGGATAACTTTCTTTAAACCCCGAAACTAAACGTTAAAGCTAATGCCAAACACACACACAAAAAAGTGTGGTAAAAGAAATTAAAGTTGAATAAAATGATACAAATAAATTCATAGGAAAAAAAAAGTAAGGATAAAATTTGACTAAATGGGACAAAAATAGCATATGCTCTCAAGTCTCTTTTTTTCCTTCAAAAACCAAAGTATTTCTTTTGATGCAGGCTTTTGAGGACATCAAGATAGACTAAAGGAAACATGTGTTGTTAACTTAAGGTTGGAGGCTCAAATATAGCAAGAAGATGTGTATGACCAAACAAACATGCACAAATTAATACCACTATTTATAACATGTAGTCCAGACTATATACCATCTTTGTGTTCTTGGTTCAGAAAAAAAATGTGTTCTTTCTTGTTATTTGCACTCTCTTGAATGCCAAATTCAGTGCTTTTCATTGAATTGTTGTGCACACTCTCGTAAACCAACATGTTATGAAACATTGAGTTGCAACAGAGTTGAGAGTTGAATCTCCTCAACAATTAGAAAATTTGAAAGGTACAGCGTCTTCACGGTTCACTCTTTACTTCCCGATCCTCCGGTTATGGTGGGATTTACTTAACGTTTTCTTGGATCAGAGGGAGTATTCATTTTCATAATCAAAAGGCAAAAGCTTTTTAGCATCAAGAATGGCTCATGAGTAGCATCATAGTTCAAGTAAGTATTGGCAAGAAGCAGATTAGCATATTTCAGTCTATCACTAACCTCAAATTACTAACACTGCCAATCCCAAAAGAAAATGGATCCATCAACTGCTGGTCTTGTTGGAAGATGATACCCCAGATTCATAATCCCATTAATAGGACCATCCAAGAACTGCTGCTGCTGCTGCTGATGATGATGGTGTTCTTGCTGTAGCTTCTGCAAACTTGTATCCCCTTCAACAATGGGATCTGAATTTGCATTCTTGGCTTCCACTAATCTCCAAAAGTACCAAGCCGCCACTGACCTATTATAAGGCCTCCATTTTTGGCAGAATTGATCCATCTGAAATGGCTTGGGCATTTCCTCGAGCACGTTGAGCATTTGTACCCCTCTCCTTATCCCCAGATCATGAATCCCGGTCTGGTGTTTCCTTGCTAGGTCATGAAGGTAGCTCGCCTTCCGGGAAGAGATTCCGATTGGCCGGAGCTGTTGTGGGGTTAGGTTTGAAACGACATCGGGGAGGAGGTCTGATTCTCCGCCGCAGAGAGAGAGAGAGAGAGGAAGCTAGCGTAGATTGAAGTTCCGGCTTTGAGAGCGAGTTGCTGGATTAGGATGTTTATGGTTAGGGCTTGGAATGGGGGCATGAAGGGCTCCAGATTTGGGGGCGGGCGAGAGTCAATGAGCGGGGCGAGTCTATGGTCGGATGATCGGAGGTGGTGAATGGCGGCCTCGAGCTCGCCGCGACATGAGAGGGGACGGGCGGCGATTCTCGGCGCTGGACTGCAGTGCGGCGCCGAGGTGGCGGCGGAAGGGGAGAATAGCTTCCGGATCTTGCGGGGCCGGGATGGCAGTTTAGCTGCGGGTGACGACGAAGCACTTTGCTTCGGCGGACTGGCGGAGCATTAGGTGGGTCCATGGGGTCGGTTTGGGGGGAGGGCTTCTTCATCGGCCATGGCGGATGTGCAGCATCTGCTAATGGTCATCAACTCATCGGGAATTCCCAAGTTCGCCGTGAGAATTTGGGGCTGTCGTCGGAGGCCGCCGGCGGTGGTTGAGTGGGCGGATGCTACGGTGGTTAAAACTACTCCATTTATACGGAGTAAAAAATAGACTAGTAGGTGCATAGTTTTCAGGACCGGATCCGGTCGAAGTACTGGTTTACAGTGGTTCGAATGGTTGAACCAGTGGTTCAAACATTTTTGAAAATTTAATATATACTCCGTATATATATATATATATATATATATATATATATATATATATATATATATATATATATATATATATATATATATATACTCCCTCCGTCCCCATAGATCTTCCTAATAACCCTTTTTCATTGTCCACAATAGATCTTCTCATTTCATTTTTTAACAATTAAAATATCACAACTACCCCCACTTACTTTATTTATTACACCTCACCCACATCATTTAATACACTCCACCCATTTTCATTAAGGGTATTATGGTAAACTTTCACCTTTATTCAACTCTGTTTTTGATTTAGTAATCTATCTCTTTAATATGATTTGATATAAAGTATGAATGGAGTAACGCATCAACTTTACTACGCACGCGGTTCTATAACAATACAATACTATTTATTTTGAGTTGACATAAAGTTTGCAACGAGTCACGCACCAATATTACTACGCGCGTGATTCCATACCAATACACTACACATTTATTTATTTTGATTTGACATAAAGTTTGCATTGAGTCACACACTAACTTTACTACGCACGCGTTTCCATAGCAATACACTACTCATTTATTTATTTTGATTTGACATAAAGTTTGCATCGAGACACTCACCAATATTACTACGCACGCAGTTCAATATCAATACACTGCCTATTTATTTATCTTGATTTGACATAAAGTTTGTATCGAGCCACGTACCAACATAACTATGCACGTGGTTCGATATAAATACACTACCTATTTATTTATTTCGATTTGACATAAAGTTTGGAAAATGAAGTTATTAATCCATCCATTAAATGCTTGGAAATAGAAAAAGTATATATTAAATGGATTTGACATATAGCACATTGAGCAATGAGATAGATTTGACATTACTTTAACTTTATGGAGAAATGCACGCATGATTTGACCTGAAAATATTCAAACTAGCAATCGCGTCAGTTAGCCCACTTGGCCCCGTCCATACCCGAACTCACTACCCGTCAGTTTGCCCACTTGGCCTGGTCCATACCCGAACTCACTACCTGATGGTTTTGGAGGGGAACATTATTACCAAAACTATCCTGGCATTGTATATAGTAGGATAATGTATCTATCTATTATAAAAAGAGATAAATAAATCTTTTGATATAATTTTTAAATGAAATATTTGCACTAAATAGCACTAAAACTTAAGTCATTTCCCTAAATAGCACTTAAATTGTTTTATTCCCTAAATAGCACTTGATAATGTCCATAATATCTAGTGATGGCGAATATTTGTTTGAATAATGACTAATGCATAATGATTAAAAGTGCTACATTGGGAAGAAAAACACATGTAGTGCTATTTAGGGAAAGTCATTATGTTTTAGTGTTATTTAAGTAAATTTCTCTTTTTAAATATATAAATTGGTGATATTAAAAGGACCAACAATATTGAATTTCAAGGGGAGCACACTGTAAATTGACAACCTTGCCTGTATTTAAAATGGACCAACACGATATTATATTTTCTCTCCTTTAATATTTTTTTCATTATTATTATTATCATTATTATTATTACTACTATATTTAGTATAATTACAATTATTGTCAATGCGGATGTTTTTTTAATTTGGAACTCATTAATAGTCTAATATTGAATAAATTAGAACAAAAGCAATGATTTGACAATGTTTCTCCCAAATTTATGAACTCTATGAGAGACTCAGAGAGCACATCTTGGAACACATTGATCTTGGGTATTATTGAGGGAATTAAATAAATACCACAAATATAAAATATGAATTAGAGGAAGGAAACAATGCAAAGTTTACATCCGTAGAAGAAGGAAACAGGATCACCTAACCATATATGTGAGGAATTTCAAGACACCTTCACTACCTAATTAATAAGGTAAGACACCCGTGATGGGACAAGGGTCTAAGAATACCAAGAATTTTCAGAATTGTAGAAAGAGCCATCAAGGGATGTGTAACTTTTCGATTCGTGGCTCTAAGCGCGGCACCTAGTCATTTCATTTCAAGAATCCATGTCTTTAGCTTACCAAGGAGAACTGATCAAACAACGAGCGAAAATGTTGAAGTTGCAACCAACCAGCAGAATTAGTACGACACTGCATCACAAGTACAAAACGTTCAATTCACCAAGGAAGTAGAATTTAAATATCCCAGGGAAGCTAAAATTTTATTCCAAGAGGAGAGAAGTTTTTTACCTAATTTTTTATACCCACTTTCAGAGCAAAACAACTTGCATTGTATCGAAGGGATGTATGCGAGACAAGCCTAGCCCACATCATTGACAAGGCTAAAGAAGAGAGAAACATTGTAAACATGCATAGTCTAAAATTTTGTTTGCACACTTCACCTCTTTTTACACCTTTATTATACATTTATACCTCCATTACCTCCCTTCAAGTGAGAGATATGTATATCATACCTCCATTACCTCCCTTCAAGTGAGAGATATGTATATCACTATATATGGAACATTTTAGATTTTACCCATGGAAGAGAACAAAATATAGTGATTTTTTTAAATAGTGGGCTACAAATAGATAGTGTTTTTTATATGATCTTTTGAAGATTGTAGCCATGTGGTTATAGCAAATGATCGTTGCATTTTTTCCATTTTGATTCCAAACTTTTGAGAGATTTCCAACCAGAAATAAAGTTGGAGCTTTTTTTCACTTCTCCAAATAGAAATAATATACTCCATAAATTTTTTTTTCCAGATGAAGTAAACGATATATACATCGATTCAAATTTAATTGATTCTCCGGCATGATTGTTTGGTCATATACCTAAAATCAAATAAATAAGGACAAAAGATATATCTGTATTCATTTACTACCTCTGTTTTAGAGTTTTTATCTAGTTTTAATTTTTTGCAATCAAAATTGATAAAATTTATTTATTAAATAAATAAAATTTATATTAAATATTAATATAAAAATAATTTTATTAGATTTATCTTATATAGCAGTGGATAAATACTCAAGAATGAAAGAAATGTTTGGACATTGGAGTGATAGAAAGTTTTTTTTTTTTGCGTGGCAAATGGTAATGAAAGTTACTCCGTAGATGTGAATGAATGGAGTAAGAACTCAACACCTACCAAAAATCCAAAATGGTGGTGAAAAGATGGGGTAAAAAACACCTGAAATTGATGGGTTGGTAAAGAAGTGACTGACTGAATTGGAGTGCCCGGCTCTAAAATTCTCCCAATAATCACTTCCATGGTGATTGGGGCGTGTCACGTGAACGCCGACCAATCATCCATATCTCTCGCACGCCTAAACATATGACCAATTGACAACAAATCGGGAACGATAGGCGAAATCGTGTCTGGGTTCTGCCATGCCAGCTACTCTCTGACTCATCGTCATCTCTATCGCCTTCTTCTTCTTCTTCTTCTTGTTCCTGTAATCAAAATCTCAAGAAATCATCTGATTCTGAGCCGTTGACGGGAAACGCAGAGAGGGCAAGAATGAGTTTCAGGGAAGAAGGCGACGATGGGAGAGGGGATCTGAGGAAGCCATTTCTGCACACTGGGAGTTGGTACCGTATGGGCTCCAGACAATCGAGCATGATGAGTTCTTCTCAGGTCATCAAGGATAGCTCTGTCTCTGTCATGGCCTGTGTTCTCATCGTCGCCTTGGGCCCTATCCAGTTTGGTTTCACTGTATTATTTACTTCCTCTCATCTCCATACCAATCTATCTTTCATTTTCCTTTCTTTTGATTTAAGTTTTACTTTGACTTGCTTTAACTACCTGCTTGACTGCATAGAACACCAAATTCAACAGCAAAACAGTATCTTCCAACCGAAATCAACTTATAATTTCAATGGTTTTTTTCTTTTTTGTAATTGAGATTTGAGATTTCTTTTCGGGCTAATTGTGTGTAATGATTGAGACCCGAATCTGGGTTCTTGCTTATTTCTACTGATTACACTTGTGGTTTGATTGTGTCTGCAATCTTATCTTTGTAAAGTGATTGACTTGTTTTCTTGTTTGAAGGGTGGGTACTCTTCGCCAACACAAAGTGCTATTATGGAAGATCTCAACCTCTCTGTATCTGAGGTCTGAAAGAATCATTTTTTTCTCTTTTATTTAGTTTCTGTGTGGATGAAAAGCTGATGAGAATCTTTTTGGTCAGTTCTCTTTATTCGGTTCTCTGTCGAATGTTGGTGCTATGGTTGGGGCAATTGCTAGTGGTCAGATTGCAGAGTACATTGGACGAAAGGGGGTATGTGTGGGTGTGTGTATATATTCAGTTCTTCGGATAAAATTGTGTGGTTATTAATCCACATGTGTTGGTTGCCAGTTTTACCGTAGCTGTTACTTTTCAAATTGCAGTCGTTAATGATCGCTGCTCTTCCTAACATCATTGGGTGGCTTTCCATCTCATTTGCCAAAGTAAGATTATTACCAGTTCATCATAATGATCAAAGTTTTAGGTCAAAGATTAAAGGCATAGGGTAGTAATTTGACTTGGGACTCAGGTCAAAGTTGGGAGTTAGGGTGTAAAAGGGGTGCCTTTGTAGGGGTTTGTTATTTGGTTGGTGTTTTTGCTCATCATCATTTTTTCTGTAGATAATCCTTATTGTTCATCTTTGAATATTTGATTCTTATAACAGCTTTTTATGGTCTTTAGAACTGTGGATCTTTCGATAACATCCTTTTTTACTCCATCCCTCCTAAAACTTTCTCCCCCTTTCAATTTTTGAGATCTGACTAGAGTTATTTTCAGTTCAGTTTATATGATTATAAGTGTAAATTTTAAAAATACAATAAGAGGTGACATGTCTATATTATTTTATTAAATGATAAATGAAAATAGGCAAAGAAAGTGAATAAAGTTTGACCTAGTAGCTAGGTAGAAAGTTTTAGGCCGGAGGGAGTACTTTTCTAGGTAGAGGTAACTCAACGTAAGGTCTCCCTACACCCATACTATGCAGGCCCGGTTTGTGGGCCCTTATTGGGTTCAATGGGTTGCTGTTGATGATGATTCATCACAATGATAAAGTTTGACATAGTTAATCTGCTGTCTTCATACGCTCAACTGATGCATATTCGTGCTCCATACCCTTCTTCAGGATCCTTCTTTCCTATACATGGGAAGATTGTTGGAAGGCTTTGGTGTGGGAATAATATCTTACACGGTATTATCCNTACGATATGTTTGGTTCAAGGAATTTGAAAGGAAAAAAAGAAAAGAAAATCAAATGGAAAACAAATTTTCATGTTTGCTCAGAGAGGAAAAGAAAATAAAAGGGGAAGGAAAAGAAAATGAGAAGGCAAAATGTACCAAACATTTTATTTTCTTTTCCTTCTAAATTCCTTGAACCAAACATAGTGTTAGTAATGAGTGAAGAATTCATTATGACTTTTTTCATCCTTTCTCACACATTATAGGTACCGGTATACATTGCAGAAATTGCACCTCAAACTTTGAGAGGGAGTCTTGGTTCAGTGAATCAGGTTCGCTAAACCAGCAATTTTCTTTAAATGGTGAAAATAACTTTCAAATACTCCGTATTATCCTTATAATTTGAATGCAGCTAGCTGTTACTATTGGGATTATGCTGTCATACTTGCTGGGACTTTTTGTCAACTGGAGGATTCTAGCTGTTCTTGGTAAAGCTTTTGAAATATCTGGCTCACTATTCATTGTTATTTGTTAAGATGTCAAGCAGTATCAGTTTATTCTTTTCAAGGTGCACCCACATGTTCTGCTTTAAATTTGAGCTTCGATGAGAAATGTCAGAAATTCATATTTTTGAAAAACATTGGATTTGAAGCTTTTTTAAGTTGGTTCCTATTATTAATTTGTTTCTCTTAAACAGATGTTCTTTTTTGTAAAATACTAGCAAAGAACATATCTAGTTATAATCGAAATGTGGCATTTGATGAAGTACATTTCTCTAGCTATATTTAAAAAAAAAAGCTATCTTTAAGAGTTTTAGGTCAAGTCATAAGTCATAATAATAGGCGTGAACTCCATGTGAGCTCGTTTTGTAATTGAACAGTAAAATATGTTAAAATTGTACCACTGTTTCATGCATTCAAAAGTTAATTTGTAGTAGTTTTTTTATGAATGTTTTCAAATTAATTTGGATTTAGTAATATCTTAGACATTTATCACATTTAAATAATCCGCTAAACAAACTAAAAAACGGTTGGAGCACCTACAATAATGCCCATGAAATGGAGTTTTAGAAAGGGTTTAGCATTCTACTCATATTTTGCAAGGAAACCAATTTTTTTATAATAGAAACAGATTTTACCAAATATTTCAATTGCCAAAGAAAAAAGTTAGTAAAAATGCTACTCTCTCCATCTCACGAAAAGAGTTTTGGGACAACAATAAGTTTAGAACAAAGATTCTTTATATGGGACGGAATGAGTAACCGAGTAATACAAAGTAATTTGAAACAGCTAGAAAAAAGGTAATGCATCTATTACTCTAACTCTTCTCAAACTCATATAATCATATGAATACATTTCTTGAATTTACCCACTTATATATTTGTTTTTCTACTCTTATAGGGACATTACCCTGCCTAGTGCTGATACCTGGACTATTTTTCATTCCAGAATCTCCTCGATGGTTGGTGAGTTGCACTAAAATCTTTTCCAGCATTTCCTTGTGGGGTTATATTCACAGCTTTCTAATGTCAGCTTCCTTGTAAACCATAGGCAAAAATGGGTTTCACAGAAGATTTTGAAACCTCCTTACAAGTTCTTCGAGGTTTTGATGCTGACATCACTATTGAAGTAAATGAAATTAAGGTAAAATGCCTTCATTTTTTTAAAGACCACGAGCGTATTATTTGGAAGTATTAGTCTTGAAGGGGAGAACATTTATTTAGTTTCTTTTAAATCATATAGTTTTGTTCAATACAAACTATATAAGGTGACAATGCTTCTAAAAATTTTAACTTCACTATCGTACATTGTTTTTCTTTGCACAGAGGTCTGTTGCATCATCAACAAGCAGAAGAACTGCAATACGTTTTGCAGACCTTAAACACAGAAGATACTGGTTCCCACTGATGGTAGTGTAGCTGCTAAAATTATAATTTGACATGTTCTTCCAGTCATTGGAATTTGAAACTTGTTCCCTCTGCAGGTTGGAATTGGATTACTTTGTCTGCAGCAATTAGGTGGAACCAATGGTGTTCTATTCTACTCTAGCAATATTTTTCAAGCAGCCGGTGCGTTGAAAGACTTCTCATATAGATTTGTCTGTTTCATGCCCAAAATGTTAACGAGTTCTAATAAGTTTTTTTTGGGAAATAAACAGGCATTTCTTCGAGCAATGCTGCTACATTTGGTCTTGGTGCTATCCAGGTTAGAGAGATTAAGTTTTAAGATTCGTTTGTTTCCCAGAAAATAAGATTTTTTTGCGCCATTTACCCCTGAACTTTTAAAAATGTTGCGTCAATGATTCCACTGTGCCATTTTTAAAGTTTAGGATTCCCAGAAAATAATGTTTCTGGTTTGTTTCATTTTCTTGTGCATAGTTGGTGACTATTGAAGGACACATTTATACTTTATAGGTCATTGCAACTGCAGTTTCTGTATGGCTGGCGGACAAATCAGGCCGTAGACTTTTACTTATTGTAAGTTACAGTAAAAACATCATTTACTTGGCTTATAGTAATATTTTCCTGCAATGTAAAAGAAGTCTCTTTGAAGGTTTCATCTACCGGAATGGCTATCAGTCTCCTCCTCATCTCCGTTTCCTTCTTTGTGAAGGTAACTCATGATTTCAGCTGGTTTCTGCCTAAACTAATTGCGGGCTAACTATTTTTCACACATTTTGTTCATTAAAAAAATCCCCAGTTTAACCTCTACCTCACACTTGATGATCATTACCAGGGATTCGTATCAGAAGACTCGTCTCTCTATGGCATTTTGGGAATAGTATCTGTTGTTGGAGTTATGGTATGTTCTTGAACTGATACATAAGTCCATGATGATGACTTTGAACCTTGCTGCTAAACTTTGCCGTAACCATTTCCTTATCTTTCAGAGCATGATTGTTTTCTTTTCGCTTGGAATGGGGCCTGTACCATGGCTTATCATGTCCGAGGTACAGCTTTTTGACTGTTTACATTGGTGTGGTACATATGACTTAGGAAACCATAAGAACCGTTTATGGTTCGTTTGACAATATTTGCAATTTTTGTTTTCGGGAAAACTAAATATGATGCAAAGTCCTTTTGCTTTGCTAATAGTCCCCTTTTCTAAAACTCTCCCAATGTAGATTCTTCCCATCAAAATCAAAGGCCTTGCTGGAAGTGTGGCTACCTTAGCCAATTGGCTCTTCAGTTGGGTCATTACCATCACTGCACCTATGCTTTTGGATTGGAGCAGCGGAGGTTCTCTCTCTCTCTCTCTCTCACACACACACACACACACACTTATACACACACTCTGATGCATAGTGACTCTAAATGCTGTTTTTAAACACAAAAACGAAGTTATTCATAGATTCGAAGTTATTTACAAAAGTAGGTACAAATCTGTTAAAAACCATATAGGATGAAACTGTTAAAATCGTGGGATCTTTGGAGAGCCGGTTTGAGAGGCTCTTTTGGGACGATCATTGGCTCAATAAAACTTTAAAAACACGTTAGCATAATCGAATACGGAGTACTAAAAGATGAACACTAAGGATCAAACAACTTCGGGATAAACAAAAGAACAAAGAGAGATTTATCTTCACATTCACATATACTTCGACATGCAAGTTGGTTGAGGTTCTTCTTTTCTTTGACAGGGACATTCATGTTATACACGGTTATGAGCGTGTTCACAATAATATTTGTATCTATTTGGGTCCCTGAGACGAAGGGCAAAACTCTCGAAGAAATTCAACATGGATTCAGATAGATGGTTAGTTCCCCCGATTCTTTGTCCGTTGTGTGTACCTTTTTATTTTGTTTTGTAATTTATGTTTCTTTGGATGGAGGGGCGGGGTCGGTATACATGTATGTATAGACACATTGTTGTAGAATGGCGTCGAGTTCCTTGAGCTTTTTCCATTATTTTATGGTTTGTTCTCGCGCGAATGGACCATTATTTCCACCATTCCTTAATAAATGTTGTTTCGTGAGAAAAAACATTGTTATTCCATATTTTTTTGTAAGACATTGTTATACCATATAGTATCATGGGGGGTGGGGGTTCGAGGATGTTAGTGGGTGTGGGAACTATTAATTTGCGAACAGAGCACCGTAGCCGTTCCAAAAATGCAGTGTCACCAGTGGCTACGAAACCGTGGTGTAGTATCATACTCCCTTTGTCCTAGTGTATTTATTCAGTTTGACTTTTTCGAGTCAAACCGGATAAAGTTTCTCGACAATTATTGTTTACTTGTGTATTTTCATCGAACATTTAATAGAAAAAAGAATAAATTCTATAAAAGATCTTCAGTTATAGGTCGTTTTACATATTTAGTCCCTACATATCAAATATTATTAATTTGAAAGTGATATATGCACTCCACAATTTGATAGTGGCACTCCACTTTTTTAATTCTTTACAAATATTGACATTATTGCCCTCTAAAAATTCTTCTTCCTCATTCTACATGCATCACTCACATTTCTCTCCAAACAATTTAACAAATTTTGTACTCCGTAATTTTGAATATAAAAATAGTGTATGGGTTGAAGATGAAAATCTAATTAATAAATAGTCATTTTTAAGTTATTTTTAAATGGTAGACTAGATTTGTAATAGTATATTCAAGACAAAAAATTATTTATGCAATTTTTTCCATCCTTAATTTTTAAATTTCAAAAAGATGAACCCCGCTAAGGATAAAAGTCCTCTCGGATCAAACTGGTCATTTATCTCAAAGGAGGAAAATGAAATTTTAATTTAGATTAAACATCATTTTTTTAATAAAGCTTAATACTTCTCTATCAGAATTAGAGTTTTTCTTTTGAGGTCCCATCCTAAGGTCTACATATGAGATATAGACCTTTTCATACTTTTTATAAGTCGTTAAATAAATTTTTTTTTGCTAAAAACTCAATTCTTTTACAATATTAATGCACTAATGTCTATAAAATGAGAATGAACATTAGACAAATTTAGCCTAAAATTAATGGTCTCCCATGCCAAGTTTAAAATCTCATCTCTAATTTTCAAATAAATTGAGTTAAAAATAATTTTAGTCAAACTTTGTAAATAAGTAAAATAACAACATGCAATTTGAATTGACATGGAGAGAAAATTATTTTAAGTGAAAAAATTTTAAACATATAAAAATTAGGCCACGTAAAGCATATGAAATAGTGGGGATGTTGTACTTCTATTAAAAAAGGGTATTATAGTCTCTTTGTAAAATTTAAAAAAAAGTGGAGTGCAACTATCAAATTATGGAGTGCCAATATCAACTCCCTTATTAATTTAGTCTCCAATTATTATATCATTTTTCACGAATGGTCCTTTGTTAACGTTTTTATTAAGAACATGGATAAAATTATATATTCATACTTCTCTCTCTCCTCAATTAAGCTTCCTCCCTCTTCTCGTACTCTTTCCAAACTCGTCGCTGAGTTTGAAAATCTAGACCCAAAACTGAAATGATCATTCTTCTCTTAATTATTAGTCTTCCTGGTGGAACCTAAAATAAAAACCAATAAGCTTTATGGATGAGTTTTATCAGTTAGTCTCAAAAAATTGCAAAGAAAATAAACATTAAAACTTATCCAGGTTATTGGTTTCAAATTTGGGTTCCACCACAAACAATTGAGATAAGAGTGATGATTTCAATTTTGGGTTCAAAGTTTCAAACTCAGCGACGGGTTTGGGAAAGGAGTGCGAGGGGAGGGAGGAAGCTTAATTGATGAGAGAAAGAAGTGTGAATTTACAATTTTATCCACGTTCTTAACGGAAATGTTAACAAAGGACCATTCGTGGAAATGAATATAATAATTAGGGACTAAATTAGTAATATTTGATATGTAGGGATTAAATATGTAAAACAACTTATAACTGTGGACCTTTTATAGAATTACTCTAGAATAAATATTCTTTTCACATCTAATTTTTTAAAATTTTTTATACACGTAATTCTTAAGTATTCTGACAAGACAAAATATGCAAGACAAAAAAATGACAACTACCTAGAAAGGTTGAACACTCCCTCCCCAACAAACACTACAGTCCGCATAAAGTTGGTATCATGTAACAGTAAAATCTCAGTGCTGTAGGCACTATGCTCCAAAGAGTGGCCATTATTTGTGTCCATTTGATTTTTCTAAGGACACTACAAATGGTCATGACGGTTCGAGGCTTTAAACTGAGCATCAAACATTTTCTCTCTATCACATTAGTTTTAACTCACACTAAAATTTTACTAGAAATAGGTTTGAAACCCCGGGCTTCAAACTGGATTTTCAAACCTCTACTTTTTACATTTTTGAATGCACATCTTCTAAAATTAAATTAATAAGATTTCATTATTTAATTGAATAAAAAGATGCATTTAAAAATTACATTGACAACAAAGAAACAATGAAAAATTGGTAGAGTTAACATTCCTTGGCTTTGTTGCCACCATTGATAACAAACCGTTGCGGAACAATAAAAAATGAGAGCTCTCTTTTCATCGTCAGATGATGATCCCATTTTTTAAATATTTTGTAGAGATAGTTAAAAAAAATAAAATATATTTTAGAGGAATTATGGAGAGAATGAGAATAGGTTGTATATGTGTGTTGTGTTAAAAATAAGGAGTATTTATACTATTAATTTTTTAAAAAAATTAATGCCTAATGATCTAAATTATGGCTTTGGGGGAGGGAGAGGCAAATCGTCAAACCTTTAACGCGAGTCTTTTGACGCCGTAATGATGGTAGAGGGGGCGGTGTTTAACGCCCCCGTGCGTTAAAACAGACTTAACGCCTGTGTGCGTTGCACCCATTTCCGGTGGTCTAAGGGTGCGCGTGGAGTGTGGACGGGACATTTTGCCATTTTTGGAAGTAAATACTACTCCCCTCCGTCCTAAAACGTTTTTCCTGTTTTTGTTTACGAGGTTTGAACAACTTTATTTTCAATTCAATTTATTTGATTGTAGGTATAAAGTTAAAAAATAAAATTTGTATATTTAAAAACTACATCAAAAGTTTTACAAAACAAAATGTGACAACACTATATTATTTTATCAAATAACTAACGAAAATAGGTAAAGAAAGTGATTGATGTTTGACCATGTGAATAGTGACTAGGAAGATCGTTTTAGGACGAATGGAATATGAAATATACTCCCTTTGTCCCAAATTATTTACAACACTTCGAACAATGTGTAAGATATTGTTTAATTTCTTTTCCATTATTTTATTTACAAATTAGTAAAGAAATAAAAAAGTAGAATGTACACCGTTCAAAAATACATCAAAAGCTCTACAAAACAAGAGTCGACAAAAATATTTTATTATATCAAATAGTCAACCAAAATAAGTAAACTAACACAAGTTATCGAGAGTCTGAACAACGACATTCTTGTATAGACGAAGGGAGTTTGAAATTTTAGAAGAAAATACTCTGAAATATTTCCTCCCTCACGTTTTGGATTAAAGGTTGATTATGTTTCCTAAATGCTCTTTTCATCTTAAAATTATTTTTTCCGTTATTATTTACACTGTTAAACTTTGTTCATTTTTTACTTATTTTCATTCATCATTTGATAAAATAATATTATCAGTCACATCTAGTTTTGTAAAACGTTTGATGTAGTTTTTTAAATATACAAATTTTATTTTTAAATTTTACATTTATAATCAAACAAATTAAATTAAAGATATAGTTGGTCAAATCACGTATATAGTGTGTATTTTTGACAATCCTCCATAGATCAATTAATTGCGAGCGAGGGCCAATATCTCACGGGAGTTTTATTATATCCGATTCATTGTTTGTGAATCACATAAAATGTCTCTATAGTTTAAAATTTGGAATATGGTCTAACTGTGACATGTAACATTTCCTTCTAAGCTTTCGTCTAACCGCAATTTTTAAAAACTACATATAAACATCTACAAAACTAAAGATGACATGACTATATTATTTTATCTAATAGGACATGAAAATAGGCCAACAAAGTAAATAAAATTTGATCATATAAATAATATATGAGAACGTTATTGTTGGAGAGAGGGAATATATTTATAAATGATCGGCCTTTACACATTTTCAACAAGAACAATCAATAGGTTTTTTTCAAAGTCAATTATGGACTACTCCCTCTCCCCTAATTTACTCCCTACCTTGTTGTGGTCAACTTTTTCTCTCACTTATTTTGTCTGTTTGACTTTTTTCACACAAATTTATAAATATTGACCCAATTTTGCAAGTGAAGTACATTTGATGATAATCATAATTTGATATTAATATACGGAGTATTAATTTCCAAACACAATTTTAAAATATAATATTTGTATCGTATTTATTTATGTAAAAATACAGAAAGAAGTTATTGATGATCAAAGTGACACCATGAAAAATCAACAGGCATTAGGCAATGTAATTTGGGACAAGACTGTTGCCTTTCTTTACTTGACTCATGCTTATTCTCCATTTACTAAAACCATTCATCCAAATCAAATACTGTAATGGTTTTACACAATGAAATTTCTTTCAATAAGGCATGGGGTACCAAAACTAGAAGAATGATTCATTGGGAGAAAAAACAGCCTACAGAAGGACCAGGCTGCACTAGTGCATTACAAAACTAAGAGCATTCAGATAAAAATGGTGGAAACTGAAGCAAAAAAACCCCATAAATTCTACAATGGACCAGGATATGAAAAGAGAATTAGCAAAATACAAACCCTATGAAAAAAGAAATAAGGGCCTGCACAGCAAACAACAGATGAGAAAAACACACTGCTTACGAGTTACCATAACATTATGAATTGTGCTATAACACAAGTTTTACAGGATACCTGTCAATACAATCCTCCCATGGGCTCTTAGGGGATGGCTTCACGTTGCGCAGCGCCTGCCAAACAGCACTGTTACACTTGAAGCCACTTCCGAATGCAATCTGCCACACTCTGTGTCCTTTCCTCATCCTCCCCTTGGCCTCGGTATAAGCCAGCTCGTACCAAATAGAGCTGGAAGAAGTATTGCCGAATCGGTGTAGTGTCATTCGGGATGCCTCCACGTGTTCTGGAAGGAGCTGGAGATTCTTCTCCAG